TTCTCGATTAACATCCAAACATCTTTGGGTCAGCACTTTATAAGAAAATAGTGCATCTTTTGTACCCACTCTATTCCGAAATCCAAACTGGGAATCACTAATATCCATCTCCAGCTTAGTGTGTATTCTATTATGGATGATTTCTAGCACGGTTTTTAAGGTATGTGAGATTAGACTGATTGTTCGATAATCACTACATTCTTTGGCATTTACTTTCTTTGGTAGACAAATAAATGTTGATGTCAGCATTTCACGTGAAATGATTCCTGTGGAATAGATTGTGTTCAGTAGTTGGGACTAAATTATCTATGTTTTTTTTTTCATTTACCAGAGCAATTCACTTGGTATTTCATCTGGGCCAGCAGCTTTATTATTTTTCATGGACTTTACTGCATGTATAACTTATGACTTTATTATTTCAGGTCCCTCGTCTTTACTCTAATTATCCTCATATATATTTTCCTGTCTCTGGTCATGGAATAATTCCTCTATATATTCTTTCCATCTTCCTAAGTTTTGTTCCGCCACTGTTGTTTTACATCACCATCAATTGATTCCGGTGTGGATTCTAGGTTTACAGTAATTTCTTGTTTCAGTTTTTCTATGACGTCTTCTGATTTTAATTTTTGTATGTTAAGTTTATCACTTTTGTAGCTTTTTTGTATCTTTTTTAGGTGAAGTTGGAATTTTGCTACAAGAGGATTGTGATCTGACGCCACGTCTGCACCTGGGTACGCTTTCACCGATTGTATTGCGTTTTGGTATCTGTGGTTTATTAAAATATAGCCAATTTGGTTTCTAACGATTTTATCGACCTTGTCAGCTGGAGATTTCCAAGTGTAAAGGTGTTCTTTAGGAGGTTTGAAGAAAGTATGCATTACCGCAAGATTATGTTCTAGGCAGAATTCTATAAGGCGTTCTCCACTTTCTTTTCGAACACCAAGTCCATATGGTCCTACAGTAGACTCACCTCTTCCTTCTCCAACTTTGGCGTTAAAATCACCCATGACTACTATTATATCTCTAGATGTTGTATTTTGTAGGGTTTTTTGAAGTTCATCGTAAAATTTTTCAATTTCTTTCTCTGTTTTATCGTCGGTTGGCGCATAAATCTGAATAAGGTTTAATTTCCCATGTGCTGTCATCATTTGTATTAGCATAATTCTTTCCGATATTAGTATAAAGCCTACAACTGATTTTGCAAGTTTTTTACTTACATTAATTGCAACTCCATAGTTGCTGGAGTACTAGTAGGGTAGAAAAGTCGACCATTGGTTGTACTTAGTTCGCCGTAGTCGAGCCATCTTGTGTCACTTATTCCCAATATGTCGATATTAAGCCGCATCATTTCTTGTTCTATGTTCCTTAGTTTACCAGGCTCATGTATGCTTCTAACATTCATTGTCGCTATTTTAAAAGTTGAATTCTGTATTTTTAGTACGCAGGGATTTCGTTTGTTAACGACTTGAGGAGCCCTGTCATCATTATTTCTCAACCTGTCGAATCTTGGCATCCAAGAACCATGATTAGTACGGTGACGTTTGTCACTAACTGCCATGACGATTTATAGGGGTACTCTACGAGTCTTTAATGCAGTGGATCCCCGTTGCCTTCGGCATCCTTATGCCGTTGACCATTCCTTGGTTCATCCGCCTTCGAAATAGATTTCTCTATCTCAGAACAAAAGAGTGCCCTTACATCTACCAGTTCCTCCGCCCGAAACCGTTGGCCAGTATTTGACTTGATTCTAAATCAACTCTAAAATCGAGGGTTGCCACTTACGCCATCCGCACCGTACCGATATTTTGCTTCTCCGCCGTGGATGCCGTTGTGGACTTCATCCGTAACCCTGGACAAAGGACCCTAAACAGGTACTAGTTTCCCGAGTCAGGAAACCCCCGGAATCTGCGGAGGGTAGGGATTGATTCATTTTCCCCCGGACTATCTTCATGAATTTAAAGAGTTCCTACCCGCTCCCGACAATGGAGATATTACAAAATATTAATTTTATTTTTACATACCTAAATTTAGTAAAGTTTTAACCCTCGCTTTCTTTCGAGAGTTTCTTGTTCCCTCCATTTTTATTAATAGAAAAACTGTGGTTCTGCTTATGTTAAAATATTTTGCTCCCTCTGATAATGCCCAGTTAACTTTTAATTTGGTTACAATTCTTGCTTTAATATATTGGTTAAGTTAATTCGTTAATAAGTCTTCTTCTTCTTCGTACGACTAGGATTACTCCTGTTTGTCTGTCTCTTATTCTGTTTCAGTCGTTGTTGACTGTACATTATCTTTCCACCTTTTTGGCGGCCTTCCAACGGGTCTTCTGCTATACGGTTTGTTGTTTTTATAGATATTCGCTAATCTATCTGGTCCCATTCGGTTTACATGTTCGTTCCAGTTTTTTTTTTCTTGTTTTTATCCACCTGTTAATATTTTGAATTTTTCATTGTTCGCGTATACTTCTGTTGGTTTGTCTGTCTCTTAATGATCTGCCCGCTATCGATCTTAATACTTTCATTTCGATATTGTTGATTTGTTGTATTGATGTCTTTCTTGTATCGGTCTTGTCTCCGCTGCATATGTTAGGATTGGTTTTACTGTTTTCTTGGTTAATCAGTTGTTTGTTTTATTCCTTAATAATAATAAAAATAATAACAACAGCCCTATTTTATGTAAAAACTATGATTTATATACTCTTTATAAAATGCAGGAATTCAAAATAATACCAAAATTTAGACCTTAAGAATTATTACTATTTATAAATTAACATATTTAATCAATTATTTGTTGTTTGTTTGTTTATTTTATTATTTTTCTGTCATAATAAGTATAATATAATGTCAGACCACTGACCATCGAGCAAAAAGACAAAAGAGGGAATCTAATCCTTATGAAAAGGAGACCAAAAAAGTGGCTTCTGATGGCGGACATATCCGGAAATGCGAATGCGCCAAATTTAAATTTTCCGAGACTTATTAACAGTAGCTATATAATATTTTTCAGGATGTGTTTTAGACGAGAAAGTTTTAATTAATTATTAACGGTAATAGTCTAAAATGCGACACAATTGTTAAAAAACTTCAATATAAATAAGAGTTCATGTGACATTTGGGACAAACAATAACATAACCCAACTAAATTTGATGTCAAACCAGGAGTGAGACTCTCTTTCCTTGTTTAATGTGGCCTCTAAAGATCGTAGTTCCTGTCTAACAATATTTTTGCCCCCACTACCTTTACATTCCTTCTTTTGTCTTTTTGCTCGATGCCACTGACACTGACAAATACACTGCTCAAAATGATAAAATAGAGACGTATCAGATTTTTTAGGAACCAGCTGTACTTTATGGAATTGAAATCGGATTATTTGGGCGGCCTTAACAATGTTTTAAAATTATAACAATGTTTTTGGCTTAGAAACAAATAAAATATCTCGGTACATTTTAAATAAAAAAAGTTGAATTACGAGCAGTAGTTCCTGAGATACAACCGGACAAAGTTGGCTTGCATTTGCGATGTAAGTTATAACCAATAAGATGATAATCTTTGAACCATTACCTTTTTCTTTCGGAGCTCTCTCCGAAATAGAGACATCTAAAAAACGCATTCTTCTTCTTCTCATGGTGCAGTCTTCTTTCGAAGGTTGGCGATCCAAATGGCAATTGTGGTTTTGGAAACTGCTGCGCGAAAGATTTCTGCGGATGAGCGGTCGAACCATCTCCTCAGGTCTTTCAGCCACGAGTTCTGGCCTCTTAATACTGATGTTTTGCCCTGTACTTTTCCTTCCAGTATAACTTGAAGTAATTCATATCTTGAACGCATATGATATGATATTGTTGTTGATAAAAAAAAATATGCAAAAAGTTAACTACTCCTATCCTTTAACTTCACATTAAAACCATCCCTCCTCGTAGGGGATTAAAACGGAAATAATCGATTTACCAAGAATCGGTACGTCGTAGAAAAAAAATTTTAAATAAAAAATGTAGCTAGAGATAATTTTGAACAAAAATATTTATGTATTACCACTTTTTGTGTAAAATGAACCGTTTTCTCAGAAACAACGGTTGAAGCTGATCTTCCATACAGTCCTCGTAGACACACCGTCTCAGGACTAGCAACTTCAACGTGGAGTCATATGTCGCCATGTTACCTAATCCAACGGTAACTTTTACATCTCAACATATTATAAGAAATACTGTAAACTAAATGTAATTAATTATTTATTAACGGGTTTTTACCCATATATTTAGTGGCTACATTCATGTACCCGTAGACACTGATGATGGAATATGGATTACGAAAAGGTTTTGTCTAACTTAGCCCGTTTGGGTTTTTAAATATATACCTTTTACAAAGGATTTTTAATAAACGGTTGAAACCTCTGGCGATTTTGAATGTCAGCTACGCGCGAGAAATCAATTTTAAATAAAATTTATATTAAGCCGACAGTAAATATGCGATATCAAAAAATTGTTTATAATTTTAAAACATTGCTGAATCCGCCCAAATAACCCGATTTCAGCCATAAAGTACGTTAGATACGTAAAGTGGTGTTTTATAAGTAAAAAAATTGGCAAAGTTCTTTATAGTATTTTCTTGTGCAAGATTTAAAAAAAAAATAAATTAAAAAAAATTAGATTGCAAAATTATTATGCACAATCTATTAAATCAATTTTAATGAAATTTGGTGGAAGAGTTTCTAGGCGAATTATGAAGGTGATACTTGCAAATCAATTTAAGTTGTTGAAAAACATTGAGTAACTATAACTAAAGGCTTGTTTCACCCTCCTTTTTTTGGAATATTTCAATTATTAATTGCTAATTTTAATTTTTTCTTAAAAAATCCGAATGCTACATCTCACATCTCACCTAACAGTTGCGCTCTGATCTCTAATGAGTATATAAAAAACTTGCAGTGTTAGAAACAACATACATCTGGTTAAAGATTTGAAAAATGTTAAAAAAAAGTTAAATTGAAATATATAATTACTTACTAAGTCCAGGTGGACTTCCCATATTCATCTGTTTATCCACTTCATTTTGTAACTGTTTCAATTTCTCAGCCTCTTCTTCCATTTCCCGTACTCGCGCCTTGATGGCTTCCAACTCTGGATCATCTGCAGCAGTTCCATCTCCATCTGTGTCATTTAACAGAGCCTCGTCGTGCATTCCGTTAGCGTCTTCAAAGGAATCTATGTGATCCTCACCTAAACCCAAGTCTTCATTATCGGCCATAACCTAGATTTTCATTATATTTTTAACAATAAAATTCAATGTTGTTAGAATTTTGAACTTGGTTAAGTTGTAGATGGTTAGTTTATTTAACACAGATGAATAATGGAATGAGTATGTGTGGGGATAAAAACGACATTACCCAAAGGGTCTTAGAAAATCTATGTGAATATTAAATTGTAATTTTTTAGAGCGAATGTAGATACTGTAACGTACATGCGAATTAGATTACTAAGAAGTAAACTTAGAGCACCGATACACTGTATGCTCGAAGGTATCGTTGCTCAGTTCTGATAGATTATGGTGGGGGTCGTTCATAGACGTGAAAAACACCAGAGAGAAAGAGTAGATACAAAACACACAAAAAAAACATAGGGAAGAGAACAACTCTTCAAAAAAAGAACGCCATTGTTTTTAAATATTTATATAAAAAAAAGACATGGGATATTCATATGACAAACAGAATAGTGCAAATATCATAAAAATAAAAAAATGGTAAAATTCACTACCTACATCAAAATATATTTAAAATATCAAATACCATAAATATCACAAAGTTATCAAATATCAATAGTTATCATATATTATAAGAAACGTGAGAACGGTCTCAACTAAGTCCTTTTTGCAATGGATTAACTGTGATGAAAATAAAATACATGCGATTAAATGAGAAATTTAAATATGCAAAAGCAATAAAAAAATGTACTGCTTAGTTAATCCATTTCGATTTAAACTTGTAATGATAGAGAATGCACAAAATAGTAATTAAAATTAAATATTTAATAACGAATAATGAAATATGCACTATATTAATATACAACAAATCATTTTAAATATCAAATTCTATCTTGTAACTCAATTCAGTCTCTTGCATTATTAAATAATTTTTTTAACGTGAAATCAACATCATTTAAATCTGGTGAGAAGAAAAAGAAAAATACTCACAATAAATTAGATAAAGCTGTTAATCAGATTAACTGGATGGTGTCCTCGGCACCAGCCGAATCTTGAATAAAAGGGGGACACTATGATTTGAGTGACCCCCATATCAGGATAAAGGTCGTTTCTAAATGAGGAAGAAACTAGATTCCCAATTAGGATAAACTGGGACAAGTTTGGCCTCCGAATTGGGAGAAAATTAGATTCACAATGGGATAGACTCTCCCAGCGGAACAAATTTGGATCTTAATTAGATGGAAAAATACAAAAATAAATATGGGAAAAAACAAAAAATATAAAATTAATCTTACACTGAAAGGGGTGTGGAAACACAAGTAGAACGCCTTTCACATCTTGATTCAGGACGAAAAATAAAATAGAATTGAGAAGGTATGCCTTTTTAAATACACAAAAGATTTGTCTGGGCAACATACCGTTTCCTGGATGGTCTTAACAGTACCCTAGATTATTTAGAAGCAAACAAATACTGTAACGCGAGTTTTTGCGACATTTCTATAAAATCTTTTAAAGGGATAATATAGAATTAACTGACCTTTACTTGACCAAATGGTATAGTTTGCGGTAAAATATTTAAGGTAAGGGATTAGAGCGCGAAGATGACCATATGGGTAAACCAATAAAATTATTAATACTTACAAAATTATACGTATATACTGAGCGTTTGTATAAAATTTATTCAAATAAACGAAAATCAAACAAAATGTAATTTTAGGTTTTTTAATACGTTACAACATAACATATTACAATGCGTTGTTACAATAAAGGAATCAAGCGGCGTATATTGGAAGAGTTAAGGGAGGACATAAGTTGTAAACAGATTACGAAGATATACTAAATATCCTCGGCGACGAATATCCTTCATATCCGACCGTGAAACATTGGATTTCAAGCTTTAAAAGAGATAAATTTCCCAGTGAAGATGAAGAAGGACCGAGAATGTTTGTGTATATCTGAGGCGCTAAATATTGAATATGAATGAGTCCTTCACATAATTCACCTCTATCTGGACATGAGAAAAATGCCTGTATAATGTTGACCAGGCGCTTGCAAGGGTAGATGCATTACGTTCGATCTGTGCTCAGTTTAAAAAAGAAGCAAACTTCTTAAGCCATATTGTTACTGTGGATAAAACTTAAGTACATTTCTACGGCTTGGAAAGAAAGCATCAATAGATTCTTTCTCTGTTTCTCCACAGCCTGAGAAATTTTGTGTTCAAAGATCTGATGAAAATGTTCTTACTTAAGCTCTTTTAGAGTAATCATGATTGTTTTTGTGGATATAGGTAGAACAATAGCTGGGAATTACTATCCGACTTTACTGGCCACTCTATGAGAAAAAAATATGGAGAGCACATGCGGGAAGTTGTTTAAAAGTTATTTTTGTTTACGACCACGCCTCTACACACAAATCATATGTTAGCATGCAAACAATTTGTTATTAAGGCTTTAAATCTGGCTTCGTCAGATTATCATGAATTTCATTTAGTCAAAAAAGTTAAAAAGTCGTTAATTTTCTTCTACCGACGACGTGATGGAAGCTGTGGAGGATTCGTTTGTGGTGCAAATTTTTTTATTTGTTAAGAGGAATAGTTTTTAATATCTTTTCCTGTTCTTAAATTGATTCTTAAAACAGAAATCCACTTTAAAAATAATTACCCAGAGTAATCACAATATTTTATGATTTTTTGTTTCAAATTTTAAAATCAACCAATGAGATAATATAACCTGACAAATATATTTTAAAGAAATTGAGTATAATTCAAAATTGAGTCCCAAATTGTCAAAGCATATTACAATACTTTTTTGTAATTGTAAATGGGAAAATTTTATTAACGATGTTTTAATTACAATAATTAGTAAGGAGTGTCTCCAGTTCGAAGAGAATAAAATTTCTTCAAAAAATATTTGTTAATACCAAAGTTAAGAGTTTTAGTTTTATATGTCAAATATTGATACACTACACATTTCTTACTCAGCATCCACCACCGAATATCTCAAGGAACTCTATCATATAATTTTGCATTGATGTTGAGAAAGCATAATATGTGAATATGTAAAGTTTGTGAGAGACATGTATGAGGCAGTAACAATTAGTATTATGAAAGGTGTGGAAGAGACTGATATATTTCATGTGAAATTTAGATTGCACCAAGGCTCAGTGCTTAGTCCTAATTTATTATCATTAGTGTTGGATCAGATAAATGCGAAACTACAGAGTAACATGCCCTAGAGCTTAATGTATGCTGATGATTAGTGTTAATAGGAAATACTGAAACCGATTCAGAAGAAAAACTGCAACAGTAGAAATCAGAAATCAAGTGTTTATTAATATTTGATTTTAAAACAAAAACTTCTACAAATGTTGTTCTTTACATATTTTATTTATAAAACTTATCAGACTTTAAATACCTAGAGACATTTAGATCTTTATCTATAAAGAATTATTATTTAGTTTTGTACTTATGAATCTGAACACATTTTTATTTAGATACTATTTTTATTGGAGATAAACCACAATTTTACTTTAAAAAAGGTTTTTTGATTTTAACTTTCCACTCTTGAAGTAACATTGTAGCTTATTCCTAAGAAAAATAGTAAATTATATTAAATGATCTTTAAATCTAAAATTCTAAAATCCTTCATATTAAAATGTTGGAAGCTACCAAACCAAAAGGTAATATAATTTGTGTTAATAAGAGAAACTGTACATGAATAAGAATTACTTATTCTTCATGAAGGGTATATTTATTTTTCTGTAGCAATAAACTTATTTTGTGTTAAACATACTACATCATATAAAATCCAAACACATCACATGGCAACCACTTCTTTAATACAAGACAGAATGATATGCAAGAACCCTATACATGGTGCAATGGAATAGTGAAACCTTATTCTTAGAGCCACTTGCTTATCCGTGAATAAATTGATTCACTTAAGTTCAAAAGCTTTCATGTTAGTTTCTCTCTGTGGAAATGCCTGCCTGGAATACAGAGGTATCATCCATACAGTATCTTTAATTTTATTTAAGATGTTACTATGTCCTGACTTAACCATTGCATTGCTCTGGTTTTCTTGCAGTCTATAATATCCCATTCTTGCATCTCTGTTAGAATGATGTGCAGGAAGGAGATTCAGTAGGGCCTCAGGAGCTGTTATTGGTGTGTCCTCAAGAGTTTCTGTAATTCCAAGGCAAGCAAGTCTTTGCACCTTACCAAATCACTGATGCATATGTTATTCTTGGTTTGACCTTCTTGTTCGTTAAGTGCCATGTCTTTATTCAGATGGCTATCATCATGCTTACAATTTCTTGAAACCATTCTCTATTGGCTGCTGCATGAAATAATTCTTCTACTGTGGTACCACACCATTGTCTAATATTACACTTCCATGAAAGTTTCTTTTAACCAATCCATCTCTTTCCCTCCACTTTTCCTTATATTATGTTAAGTGCCATGTCTTTATTCAGATGGCTATCATCATGTTTACAATTTCTTGAAACCATTCTCTATTGGCTGCTGCATGAAATAATTCTCTACTGTGGTACCACACCATTGTCTAATATTACACTTCCATGAAAGTTTCTTTTAACCAATCCATCTCTTTCCCTCCACTTTTCCTTATATTATAAGGCAAAGTAGTAGGGAACGAACAGGCTGACACCCTGGCATGAAAGGGCTAATTCATGGTGCCAGTGGGTCCCAAACCTGTGACTGGAGTGCCCTTCAGTACTGGTCGGGGAAGTCTCAAAGAGCTTCTTCTGTGAAGGTTCCAGCACTCCTGTGGAGGTCTGAGACAGGCTAGGTTCCACATAGTGGGGCCATCCAAAAACAGCCTAACTTCTCCTTTTAGATCGTAGGTCTTAGAAGCAGATTAAAGAGACTTGTAGCTTTCTGTGAAGTTACAAGATTACTAAAGGATTAGAAGTTCGGAACAGCAGGAAGTACTCAGATTTGGAGCCCTGATTACTGTAGATATGGGAGCCCGTAATAGCCTAGACCCTAGAAATGCCAAAGACTAGGTCCTTAGGGGCCTATTCCGTTTGATAGGGGTGATACAATGAAACCATCTTAGGAGGTCTGAAGAGCTCATAAATGGGTCCTGCCCTGATCTACCATAACCCTAACGATAAGGCTAAGTAGATGGTATTTGAAAGCAAGCATTCTGAATTCATCATTTTAAGAGTATCTTCATTGGAAATGTGCAAAACCCATGATATTTTTAGGATCCATTGAGAGAACCACAATTCGAATGCTTCTAATTTGTTAAGCATTGTGATTTTTAATGTCCTTGACTCAACCATATAATAGGAGAGACCCTACATACCATTTCCGGATCTTCTTGCAAATATGTATTGACATGGTTCTAATACATAAAACTGGTCTCCATGCCATAAGATCCTTACAAGCTATTTTGATCCTGGTTGTTATCTCTTCATCAAAGTCACAATTTAAATTTAAGCTGCTGCCGAGGTATTTAAAATGGTTTATGCATTTGATCTCCTCTCTGTTAAGCAAAAGCAAACCTTGATTTATAGTAATATTTCCAACCACCATTCACTTTGTCTTTGAAATGTTAATTTTAAGGTGTCTCCGATAACTTGCTTCACTGACTAGATTTACTAATGTCTGGAGATCTTGTGAATTTTCTGCAAGAACAGCTGTAACATCAACTTATCTGATGTTGATTACCACAATTTTTTAATTCCAATATAACATGTCTCTCAATGTCTGGTTTTAACTTCACATTTTTTGCTGAATTATTGTGTATAAGATGAGTTATATCTATATAAATATCTGTATAAGATGGATATTTAGTATTCAGCCTAGTATGATTTGGCTTTGATGTAATTATGTCATGATTGATGAAGTCTTTTAATGCAATGTGAATTTTCTGCAAGAACAGCTGTATCATCAACTTATCTGATGTTGATTACCACAATTTTATAAATCCAATATAACATGTCTCTCAATGTCTAGTTTTAACTTCACATTTTTTGATGAGTTATTGTGTATAAGATGAGTTATATCTATATAAATATCTGTATAAGATGGATATTTAGTATTCAGCCTAGTATGATTTGGCTTTGATGTAATTCTGTCATGATTGATGAAGTCTTTTAAGTAATTTTATTGTATCTAAAAACATTTATCAGTAATTGAGACTTTTGTGACTTTTGCCAGAATGGTAGTATAATGGTACACTAAAATGAGAATAGCCATATGGTACAACACTTTGTATATCCTCAACTTATTCTGTTTCAAGAAAACAGAATAAAGTTAGCAGAATTCATTAAAGACAAATTACAAAATCAGATTTTAAATACTCATGGAGTAAAAACTTCAAAAATTGGAAATTGAGAGAATGACCCATACTTGGTTGGATTGAGCAAATTCTAGGGAAAATAAAAATGCATTAGATGGATCAGGAGGTTTAGAAATTGAAAACGGGGACATGATAAAGCGGTTAAAGTCTAGAGAACATTCCGATTAAGTTAGCTACAAACGGTTTTTACTCTAATTGATTATTAAATTAACGTGAGTTTATAATTGTACCAGAATAATAACTATAAATAAACTAAATAACTATATATAATAATAACTAAATTGGTCACATTGAGAAAAGCTTGATGGCTTTTAAAACGGTACTTAATTAAAAGTTGTATTTGTGACTGTTGAGATAAATGCACACAAGCATACTTACTGGTAAAGCGCTGATACTTTTTTTTCTGAATATTATTTTTTTATTTTTTAAATTACCGGCTTGTATCCTAACCACTTCGCGCCTATCAGTCACCTATTAGGAATCCTCAAATAAATAGACGAAAAAAACCAATGGCAATCGGCACAATAATGCCACAAATGTGATTATTAGCAAAGCAAAATGTCAAAAGTGGTTTTATGTTTTATGACTCAATTTGGAAAATGCTCTGGGTTCTGTGTATACTGTCAAATCGGGGATATATATAAAGATGGAACAAAACTGACAAAATAACATTAATATATAACAGTTATTTATAATGGGGCTAAAAAGAACAAGAATTTAAAGGGGTGCCTTTTTGAGAAAGGAGTGAATTTGTCTCTATGTATTAGGGTGACATTTCGATAGGAAATTTTATTTTGAACAATTTTTCTGTAGATGTATATTTACGAAAACTGCACAGAATTCATCCAAATGTACACTAGTGTATAAGAACAAATTCACCCCTTTCTCCAAAACGCGGACTTTTAAATTGTAGTACTCGGCGGTTTTTCATATTTGGCAGTCCATATATGAAATAATAAAACCGCTTTAACGTTGTAGTTGCTTTCTAAAGTGCATGATCAATAGTCTATTACCACGCAAGTTGGTTACTATATTAACAATAAGGGCCTCTGTACTCAACTTAAGTATAGATCTAAACAATAGCAAAATTGGTACTGAAATTATTATAGTATTTCTTAATGGAAACCCTTTATCAAAATTAATAATTTTTGCTTGTGTATAATTAACCCTTTCACTGCTACATTTTGATTTAAGACATGCCCAGAAGCGGCTATTTGTTTTTGTAAAAAATAAAAAAAAATTATTGAAAAAGTCTTTTTTTGGATTAAGGGATTTAAAATTATTACTTAGATGTCAATTTTGACATGTGTCACGGATCCGTGATATGCGCACTGGCCAAAAAGTTTTCTATGCAGTGCGTGTCGGCACGGATCCGTGACAAATGCATTGTTATGAGTGGTTTAGGCCAAAATTTATGTAAAATAATTTTTAAAGGCTGCTAAAAAATCTTTATTTTGTTAATAATCCGTAAACAAAATATTTGAACTCTAAGATGAAAATAAAAGGAAAGGACAAAAATAATGCACTTTCCCCAATAAAATAACAAAAACAGTAAAATGATTGTGTTGCAAAAAAGTACAAAATAAAATAAACTAATACAATAAAAAGATAATCATTTTTCCAATAAACATAAAACGAAAAAGAACAATCTAAAACAAAAATAGTAAAAATGTTACTTATGGGTAACATCGGAGCAATCTCCCACACAATATCCAGGTTGTTCAGGACGTCCTTCACAATGGTACAATATCATATTCCGACTTTTCTTTTGGGAACAAAATCTATAACGTTTTCTGTTTGTTTCACCTTTTTTGTTCACAGATGTAATTTTTGTCAGTTTATGTGATGTTGGGTTATTGGTCTGGGCAGCTTTAGTATTGAGTACTTCAATTTTTATTAGTTTGATATGACAGCTAGTCGGAAATCATAAAAACTCATGGTTTTATCTGAATATTTTTTGAAGAGGAAAAAGGCATTGAGGATCATAAGTTGTATGAAATGAATACCTACTTTTTTGTACCACCTTCTTTCCCTTTCTGTTACAGTCGCCAATCTGCTTATTGTAATAAAAAATTTGTGTACGTTTTATTTTGGTAAAATGTCTTATATCTGCAAAATCGACCATTTTGTTTTCATGTTTATTAGATAAATATAGAACATCTCTTTTGTCTCTCCATTTGCCGGCCAACAGGTTGTGAGAATACACTGCACATGTTTCACCCTTTTTAAGTTTTTTAGAAATAAGTTTCGTGGGATTATTAATTCTTTTTGAATTCAGAGTTCCAGTACAATAAGTATTGCGCATAGTTAGCTGGTTGGCTAGGTCAAAGGAGTTATAGAAATCGTCTAAGTAGATAGAATGGCCAGCATCTAAATAGTTTTTCAGAAGTTCCAAAACCACCTTTGTAGTATGACCTTTTCCTCCAATATGATCCGAAGCCCCGGTATATACCAAAGTTTTTAGAATTGTGCCACCCGGTTCTGTTAACATATATAATTTAATTCCGTACTTATGGCGTTTGTTCTTTACATACTGCCTAAACACCAAACGATGTCGCCATAGCACCATGGATTCGTCGAGTGATATATTTTTCCCAGGGTAGTAGAGGGCAGACATCTTAATAAAAAATTTATAATTGGCCTTATTTTATATAACGAATCCTGGACTGCTTGTTCGGGCATATTTCTATTAAAATAGAAATGCCCATGTTCGGGCATGTTTTCAATAATCTTGGAGGCGATTCTACCGTATTGTACCTGTGTGTAACACTAGTCCAATAAATGTTAACATTTCTTGAAAATTTACATTCTTCTACCTACTGATTCGAGGTTTTTCCAAAGCACCGTGAGGCAGGAAAACATCATCTGCGTATGTATTTGTTTCTTCTACTATGTGGCCTACAATTTGGTCATCAAATATTGCTCTGAAGTCGTATATGGGTTCATTTTCCGGTATTGCTTGTAATAGCTCGTTAGTTTTAGAAAATGGAATATCTAACATACGCATAGGAACTTCCAACCACTTTGGAATGATACTGGATGTGGTTTCAGCAAGAGTTGTGCCTACTGCAAGATTCGCAGCTGCAGGCAGATCTGTAACAACGGGAACTTGATGTTGTCCTTGTGTAGTCGACAAAACTGCTCCAGTAACAAAATTTATATTAAGTTTTTGAAAAACTAATTAAAACTATCTTTGAACACTACATATATATAATACTACAGTGGTCACTTTTAGAACTAAACAACATGATGAATTTTACTACCCAAATAAATATGATATGTAATCATTACTTGACTCATCGTCGAGTTCAATATTGTCATCGTCATCACTAAAATATGTTTCATTATCACTCGATTCTTCCAATAGTTTTACATGCTAATTTACGTTTTTTAATGGCCCTGCATTACTATCATCCATAGTACTCTATCTACGAAAAACAAAATCCGAAACGAACGAACTTTTTAGATGTCCCAGTATGTACGCTACACGCTCGTCAACGTACGTCTACCTTGAACTAACGCTCAGTTCCTACTGGCAAGGAAAGTGATCATGTGCATTTGTCATGGATCCGTGTCACGCGCACTGTCTGAAAACTCAGTCTGACACGGATCCGTGCCATGCGCAATGAAAGGGTTAACTATACCCAAATACTATGTTAGTTTATTTAGACTGGTGAATTTAGATGTACTAAGTATATACAATACATATTTACGGTACTTAGATATTTTTTCTTCAATGTTGGCACAATAAAAGCTTATTTTAGAAGAGGAAAAGAAAAAGTCCATAGAAGCATTAAAAAAAATAACTACTTGTGAAATTGCTTTTAGCGCATCTCTATTGATTGGAAACCAGAAGCCTATGCCAGGAGCTTATTCTGCCTAATAAAATTTTCTATGGCTAAAATGTCGGAAAATGTCCAGTCCATTGCTTAGTGTACAAATTATTTTATAATTTTGTTTTGGAATACAAATTGAACAATATTTATATTGACACTATACAAAGCCACTAAATATGTTATGTTATGGTGTTTTATTTTATGATAACCTTGGATTTAATTGAAAATTCCTTTATATTACAATAATGTGACTATACAGTAAAAGAATATGCAATATTTTTTAACTATTCAAGAGGATTACCAGTTTGCCATAATCTTCGATCCCTAAGTACAGAGATAAAATCTAGTTTAATAATATTTGCGATATTAATAATTTTAGAAAAATGTGTTGGATATTACACTGTTGCCAACGAGCAGGATATCACAATTTTCCTAGATCTCATTTTTAATTTGTACCCCCTTTTCTTTGGTTTATTATTCAACAATATTGTAAAATATTTTACCAATGTGGAATACTTAAACGTTATTTTTTATAATCCTAATATTTATGATGCTTCTGTTCTAAAATGGTCACGTTCTGTCAACCGATCTATCTTTAATCGTAGCTGTAGATCTATGAGATGTTATGGCACTTTTAAAACCTTTCTGTTATATCGTATTTGAGTGTGTCTGCCGTCTAGAAAGGTACTTTAGGCCAGTATCTGGGTACCATATGATCAGAATTCATCGTCCAGTCTCACCATCCGTCTATAATATCCCATTCTCGCCTTCTCCTATAGTGTTTGCTCCTTGATTAATTTGAGAATGTCAATCACTGATTGATTTTTTCATCATTACAGAGCCGATTTGGCTGTTAATTTTTATAAAAGTGACTCTGGTAATTGTGTTATATCTTGTAGTATAATAATTTTGTTCCTCCTCCTTTTTTATTTCCCTTATTCTTCTTTGGCTTTTTCCCATTATTAGTTCGCCGTTTTCGTCCTCCACAGCATTTTATTTTCCCAATCACCTTCTCTGAGGTCTCTATCTATCATAGTATTCCCTATGTATGTTTCTTATGTATAGGTTGACAATTGGCAATAGGACGATTTTGAACTAAATGGAACACAAGAAATTTGCAACAAAATACTATTTTGAAATCGTAGGCTTCCACGGCCAGAGTCAGAATTATAGTTTATTCGTCTTCCGGGTTTGGATCGTGTCATTTGTGAGTGACCCAAAAGTGGGTTCATCTCGACGTTTCGCTACAATTGTATGTAGCTTCTTCAGGAGAACAAAGAAATAGAAATCAAAAGACAGGAAGATGGGTAGTTAGCAACGGTAACTCAGTTACTCAACGCAACCAGAGGCGAATACTAACTACCAAGATGGGCATTTGGTCACAGTAACTCAACTATTTAACGCAGCCAGAGGTGAAAACCAAATGCCAGGACAGGGATTCACGTCCAACAGCTCAGAACACTAACGCGTCGAGAGGCTGGATTCACTCCCCGCCAAAAAGCCGTATATAAACGTGTTCTTGAAATTTTTTTTCAAGGTGTGTTTGTTTGATATCTAGACATTTTTATGTCAGTACTTCAATGTACAGATTAATTTGATTGTGGGTGGCCTTAAGAGATAACGTCAATATATGACATTAGTGATATACTTTGATGGTTTGTTTTTTTAATCAGCTGCGGCCGGCCAGGTGAAGTAGGTGAAGGTGAGG